TGTTAACTCTCTAATTTGTTTTTGACGTAAGATTTCTTTCTATTTTTCTTTTTTTCTTCTTTTCTTTTCTTGTGGGGGAGGGGGGAGTTGTTTTGGTGGCCGTTTTTCGTGTTGGTTAACTATTCTGATATTTTTTTTTCTTTTCTCTTCTCTTTTCTACTCTGTTGTAATCTTCTCTTCTCTTTTCTTTGCTACTCTACTTACTTTCCTCCCCTTCTACCCTACTGTTCCCATTTCTCCTGTCGTCACTCTTCTTTTTTCTTGTCTCTTTCTTTTTCTTTTTCTCCTTTATATTTTTTTCTCATTCTTTAACATTTTTCTTTCTTTCTTCATACTCACTTTCTCGTTCCACTTTTCAGCATATTATCTGTCTTGTCACAAAAGAGCCGCAAAAGAGTGAATCAGAAATGCTCGAATTTACAGACAAATTAATAAATAATAACGGCGTGTGAACTACTGCTTCATATAAAATTGCATTCAATATCTTTTTGAAAGGGACCTCTTTTGTCTGTGCTCTTTTTGTTTTATTTTATATCTATATATTGTTTATATAAAGTAATAGTAACAAAATTTCATCAAATTAACTGTTGATGATGATGCGAGTAACAATAATAATAAAAAAATCTACTTGTGTTTCATTTGTCCATTACGTTTACAGATTACGCCTGAAATCATATTCCATTTGTCTGTGAACTCCATTTATTCTGACAAAAGAATAACAACAATAATAACAAATCTACTCGTGTTTCGTCTTTCTGTTACATTCACTGTTTACGCCTGAAATCATATTCCATTTGACTGAGGACTTGACGTAAGATAGAGATTTTATGCCTGGAATCACATTTCTTCGAGACAAGCACATTGCAGTGAAGTAGGTAGACCGTCAGTTTCGGTACATTTATTATAAACATAGATTCCCTACAGCAAACCACAACTGGAAGGAAAGAGGGGAAGGGGAAGAAAGGGGGAGAGGAGCAGAAAGCCCTCCCTTAGAGAGAAAAGGGAGCTGGGAGAGAGAAGGAAGGGTAAGGGGGATGGGAGAGAGAAGGAAGGGTAAGGGGGCTGGGAGAGAGAAGGAAGGGTAAAAGGAAGCGAAGGAGGTGGGAGGGTTTAAGGAGGAAGCGAAGGGAAGTGGGAGGGGGCAGATGTAGGGCTTGAAGTGGGAGGGAAGAAGTGAATTTAAGGAAGAGTTGGGAGTGAGAGGGAATAGCAGAGCTGGAAAAGGAAAGGTAGAGAGCGGGGAGAGAGAGGGAGAGGGAAAAGCGAGGGGAAGGGCCCCCCTCTTTTCTTCTCCACTTTCCTTTTTCTCTTTTCCCTCCTACCTTCCTTCTTAACCCCCTCCCCCCGCCCCTTCGGATAGTCTAACAACTTCAATACAGAGTGTACTTGCTTTGAAGAAGAAAGATAATAATAATATCAACAAAAATGATGATAAGAAAAGGACAATAATACAACAATAATAATGATGATGATAATAGTTAGAATAAAATTCTCATAGATGCGTAATATAATGTCGTAATATAATGAGCAAGTGAGTATGTGTGTATTCGTATCATTTTTTAATATTCATGTTGTCAATCATCACCTTATTTAACACCAAAAGTAACTGACTTTAAATCCGCAGTCACATGATATCAAGAGTAAAGTACAGACGAAGCACAAACACAACAATAAATATAAATAAAAAACATATTAACATCAGTGAAAAGTAACGCAACATCATAGAATGAAAAATATAAAAATCTTGTGGCTAAACGCACTAGCTTTACATCAATCTCTGCCACATAAAACTGTTGCAAATCCCGCTAAACCTCCCCTCACTTCCTTACTTCCCCCTCGCTCTCCCCTCTTACTCTCCCCTCCTCTTCGATCAACACACAACAAGGCCTCTCACTTTCGGAGCCGTCACAGCCATTTCCCCTCCTTTACTCTCACCCCCTCCACGCAGTTCCCCTCTCGCTCCTTAATCTGTTCTTCCTCCCCTCTCTAGCCTGCCTCGCTTTCTCTCTCTCTTTCTCTTTCCCTCGCTCTTTTTCTGTCTTTCTCTCTCTGTCTGTCTGTCTGTCTTTTTCTCTCTGTCTCTCCCTCTGTGTCTCTCTCTCTTCTCTCTCTCTCTCTCTCTCTCCCTCTCTCTCTCTCTCTCTCTCTCTCTCTCTCTCTCTCTCTCTCTCTCTCTCTCTCTCTCTCATCTCTCTCTCTCCTCTCTCTCTCTCTCTCTCTCTCTCTCTCTCTCTCTCTCTCTCTCTCTCTCTCTCTCTCTCTTTTCTCTCTCTCTCTCTCTCTCTCTCTCTCTCTCTTCTCTCTCTCTCTCTCTCTCTCTCTCTCTTCTCACTTCTTTCTCTTACTAAATAGCTATATTTTTCTATAAACATCTATTCGTTTATTTTTGTAAATTGTATCTATCTATCTGCCTATCTATCTATTCATCTATATACCTATCGATCTTTATATATCTTTAACTGAATCTCTCTCTCTCTCTCTCTCCCCTCTCCCCCCCCTATCTCTCTCTCCCTTTCCCTCTCTCCTCTCTCTTTCCCTTTCCCTCTCCTTCCCTCTCCCTCTCTCTCTCTCTCTCTCTCTCGCTCTTGCTTCTGCTCTCCTCTCCCTCTCTCTCTCACTCTCTCCATCACTCCCTCTTGCTCCCTCTATCTCCCCTCTCGCTCTCTCTCTCACCTCTCTCTCCTCTCGCTCTCTCTCACCACTCTCCCTCTATCCCTCTCGCTCTCTCTCACCCTCTCCTCTCCTCCTCTTCACCTCTCCCCTCTCGCTCTCTTTCCTCTTTATCTTCTCCACTCTCCATATTTTTCCCGCCTTCTACAACCCTATTCCTCTTTTTTACTCCCTCCCCCTTCTCTGCCATCTTCCACACTCTTCTCTTCCACCATACTCCTCGGTTCCCCTGCCTCCCTCCTCCTTCTCTACCTCCTTCACATCCCCATCTCTTCTCTATCCCTTCTCTCTTCCCTCTGCTCACTCTCTCATGTCCTGTACCTTCCCCATCCCTCCTTCCCTCCTAAGCCGTTTCCTTATCACTTCCTCTCCCCGCCCATCTCTTTCCCCTCTCCTCTCGTCCTGTTCTCCTATCACCATTCTCCCTCCCCCTGCCCAATATCCCCTCCCTTCCCCTTCCTCCCCCCTCCCACATCCCTTCTCCTCCATCCCCTCCTCCCCTCCCTACCTCCTTTCCCCAACCCCACCATCCTTCCCTCCTCCCTCCTCCCTTCTCCTCCTTTCCCCATCCCCTCTCCCTCCTCCCTAATCCTCCTTCTCCCCCTCTCCTCTCCTTCTCTCCCTCTCCCTTCCCCAACCCCTCTCCCCACCCCTCCCCCCTTCCCCATACACAGACCCCGCGTAAGAAGGCCGTTCACACCCAGAACTGCGCTCGACATGTTAATCTGGAACTTTTCCTCAAGTCCCCCCTATTTCTTTTACGATTTAATTTCTTAAGATGGAAATATGGGGCCGAATCCGGGATTATCATTATTAATATTGGGAGTGGCGGTGGTGGTGGTTGTGGTAGCAGTTAAAGTTGCGGTTTGTGGTTTGCTGTGGTTATAGTTGTAGTGTTGTTGATATTGGAAATAAAATAGGACTAATAGTAGTAATGATCTAAGTATAAGCAGGTGTATTAAGTTATAGTAGTAGCAAGGATGCTAATAAGACAATTGTAACAGCAGAAATAATTGTATGGATAAAAAGATATATGAAAACATATAAAGTAAAGGATATAAATGGCCATATAGATAAAGATATCGATGACACACAAGAAAATATGAATTGTCAAATATATACAAAATTACTATATTCAAGCTTGCATACACATACAAACATTCATTCATACATACATACCACACACATACATGCATACATGCACATATACATACACATACACACACACACATACACATACATACATATACATACATGCACACACACACACACACACACACACACACACACACACACACACACACACACACACACACACACACACACACACACACACACACACACACACACACACACACACACACACACACACACACACACACAACACACACACACACATTTATATATTATAATATATATATATACATATATATATATATATATATATATATATATATATATATATATATATGAATGCACAATATTAACAACTAGAAAGATGCCATAAAATACACAAAACAACAAATACGACATAAAAAAAGCCGAAAAATCAAAGAAGAAAGAAAATGCGTGAAGAGAGTGCTAAACCATCTATTATGGAAATAAGCCGAGACTGCGGAAGACACACATCCGGTAGGCCTAGAAAACGAAAAAAAAAGAAAAGAGAAAAAAAGAGAGAGACAGAGCTCCATTTACTTTGTGGAAATGATATACAACTCAAGTGCTCGTTCGTCTTATTGGTAACAATGGTTGAGACAATTGCGTCTCACTGGCGAATTTTTGGCGGGAAATGAGTGCTGAGTCATTGGAAGCTCGTGCTTGGTTTGTGGAAAGTGTGTGTGTGTGTGTGTGTGTGGTGTGTGTGTGTGTGTGTTGTGTGTGTGTGTGTGTGTGTGTGTGTGTGTGTGTGTGTGTGTGTGGAGAGTGAGAGAGAGAGTCGAGAGAGAGAGAGAGAGAGAGAGAGAGAAAGAGAGAGAGAGAGAGAGAGAGAGGAGGAGAGAGAGAGAGAGAGAGAGGAGCGAGAGAGAGAGAAGAGAGAGAGAGAGAGAGAGAGAGAGAGAGAGAGAGAGAGAGAGAGAGAGAGAGAGAGAGAGAGAGAGCGCAGACCGAAAAAAAAAACAGACAGATACAGAGAAGAGAAAATAAACACATGAAACCCTACAACATATCTAATAAAAGTCGCATCCACATCCATACCCAAACAAACAAACAAACCTCATAACACACCCTCCTCTCTTCCTCACACAGCACACACCAATTTTTTAAATAATCATACTTACGATTATCATAGATACCACCACTCATTTCTAATTGAAAATCATCATACTTACGATTATGAAGGTGATTATGAGGTGAATGAGGGCTGTGAGGGACCCAGCCAACATACCCCAGCGGAGAGGCAGCGGCAACATAGAGTATGTGACGAAGACGATAAACAGCAAATACCACATGTAGTTTTCTGTCTCGTTGCTCAGCACTTGGGATATGCAGCCTGGAAGGAAGAAGAGGAACGTTAGTAATGGGCGGGTGATGATTATGATGATGGTGATGATGGTGGTGGTGGTGGTGGTGGTGATGATGGTGGTGTGGTGATGATGGTGATGATGATGGTGGTGGTGATTGGTGATTGATGATGATTGATGATGATGATGATGGTGTGTGGTGTGATGATTGATGGTGATGATGATGATGATGATGATGATGATGATATGATGGTGGTGATGGATGATGATGAATGATTGATGATGATGATGATGATGATGATGGTGAATGATGTGATGATGATAATGATGATGATTGATATGAGGTGAATGATAAATGAGAGGGAGAGAGGGAGATGGACGGGAAAGGTAGGAGAGAGGAGGAGAGAGAGAGAGAGTGAAAGAGGAAGAGAAGGGAAAAGTAGCTCCCAATTTTTTGTGGAATATGTAGAATTTTCACGGGGCCCGCTAATAATAATGATGAAAAGATCACCTATGAATATGATGATAATTATTATTACTAAAACTACGGTGATGATGACGATGACGATGATAACAAAAACATCAATAATAACAACAATGCTACTACTACTGCTAATTGTAATAATAATAATCGTACTAAAACTGCTACTAATAACAACATTCACGATAACAGTAACAATAAATTTTCTTTCCAAGAATCACATTAATCACCTGTCATTTTTCGCCGCCGACGAACAGGATAAACCAAAGAATATTATTCAATTATGAAAACCTTCAATGATTTATGCATCCTTGGGCGATAATGTTTAGTTTGTATCACTGGCGGATAATGAAAATCAAATATATCTTTGGGTAATGTATGGAATAATGTGATGGCATTTTTAAGCGTGTTTGTCATACATCTTTTATCAGAATTGAGTCTCGGGGATTTAGCAAAGCTGGATCATCACAATAAAGGTAATTGTGGGTGGATACATTAACCTGTGTATGTATTTATGCTCGTATGAAATAGGTATACATACGTAACGCCCCCGCTCCTTACCCCTGATACACACACACAGAGACAAACAAACACACGTACGCACACACACACACACAGAAACACACACACACACAACCACACACACACACACACACACACACACACACAACACATACTTACACACACAAACACATAACACATACCTATACACCACAACCCACAACACAAAACTACAGACACACGCAAATACACATACCCACAAACACACTCCGCCCTTTCCAGGAGCAAAACAAACACTCCTAAATAATCAAGTGCGGCCAAGCAGAGAGCAAGCACGGCGGAAGCGACGGCGATCAACCTCTTGGTCTGAAAATCGTCCGCAATTGAATTAAGCGGAAGAAGAACACGTTTCCCCTGAGGGCGTTAGGCCTGAAAATTGCCTTCGTGCGCGGACTACGAAACAAGGGCCGGGTGCTCTCTCTCTCTCTCTTGCGTTCTCGCTCGCTCGTTCTTTATTTCTCTCTCTGTCTTTGTCTCTGTCTCTCTCTCGCTCTCTCTTTTTCTCTTTGGCTTTGTCCTTCTGTCTCTGTCTCTCTCTATCTCTAGCTCTCGCTCTCTCTTTGGCTTTGTCCTTCTTCGTCTTTGTCTTTCTTGCTCTCTCTGTGTATCAGTGTTTTTGTTTACTTCTTTCTATTTCCACTTCCACTTCCACTCCCTCTCCCACTCCCATTCCTATCCAGAATCCCATTCTCGCTCCCACTCCCTCTCCCTCTTTTATTCTTTTGTATCTACAACTTTTACTATCGGCAAAAAGCGAGTGTGTTGTTGAGCCTCACCACTTAGCTTATCGAGGTAGAGTGAGAGAGAGTAGAGACCGCGATAGCACACCCTTATACCAGTGTCCAGTGGCTCCCTCTTTCTCTTCTCCTTCTCCCTTTCCCTCTCCCTCTCCTTCTCTCCATTTGTATATCGATTCTCTCTATCTACCTCCTTCTCTCATACTCATTCACGCATGTTCACTTTTTTTATTTTTTATTTATTTATTTATTTTTTTTATTTATTTTTTTTTTTTGAAATCCCGTGTTTTATAAACCTGTGACTTCTTGATGCTCTTTGGCCAAGTGGGATCCAATCTTTTAAGACTATTAATGATTAGTTGATGTTGTATGTACGCTGAGTTGGAAGTTTGCCTTCTTCACCACTTTCTTGTTTCTCTCGCATTGCCTCTTTTCATTTCTTCTTCTCTTTCTTTAGCTCTCTCTCTCTCTCTCTTTCCTCCTCCTCCTGCTGATTCTTCTTCTTCTTGTTCTTCATCTTTTTCTTCTCTCCCTCCTCCTTCTCCTTCTCCTCTTCCTCCTTCTTTGTCTCTGTCTCCGTCTCCATTTCTGTCTCCTTCACCTTCTCCTAATCCTTCTTCTCCTTCTCCTCTTTCTTAACCTCCTTCTCCTTCTCCTCCTCCTCCTTCTACCTGTCCTTCCAACTCCTTGCAAGAACATTCGACAGATCCTCGATAAAAATTCCGTTAAAAAATGAAACGGAACGAGCAAATAAATGCAACACATTCGGACGAGTTGGGAGCCAGCGGTTTGTTTACGAACCTCTTTTCTGAATCCATCAAAGAAAATTAAAATCGAATTTCAGCAAGATTGACGGATTTATATTTTCTGCCTTGCCCTTCCTTATTCTCTTTCCTTCTTGCTTCCTCTCGTTTCCTTCTATGCATTTATTCATTCGTTCGTCCATTCCTTCTTTCATCCCTTCCCTTTCTCATCCCTCTATCTTTCCTATCATTTTCCCTCTCATTGCACTTTTTGTAACCTTTTACTCGTGCATATTTTTGTTTTCAGGTCATATAGTTCACCTTTTGTTTGTTTGTTTTTTGTCAATTTTTCATATCTTTTAAATTTCAGTCCTACTAATCCAACTAGGATTCCTATTAATCCTACTAAGAATCCTGCTAATCCTACTAGGAATCCTACAAATCCTACTAATAATCCTACGAATCCTACGTGGAATCCTAATAATAATCCTACTACTTGGAATCTTACTAATAATCCTACTTGGAATCTTAGTAATAATCCTACTTGGAATCCTACTAATCCTACTTGGAATCCTAATAATAATCCTACTAATCCTACTAATCAGCTGCCTTCTCAAAAGAGTGCTGAAAGTCCCAGGAGGTTTAGCTACTTATAAACGTGTTACTTTCCAACTGTATGTAAAGCTTTGGTTAGATAAACATTTCTAATAGCAATATCAGTGGTATTTCCCCTTTATTCTTTGCCCTATCTCCTTTCCCTTTTCTTTCATCCTTCCCCTCCCACCCCTACTCCTTTTCCTCCCTCATCTTTCTTTTATCGCATTCTTTACATTCCTCTCCTTCGTCCTACTCCCAATGCTTACCCGCGATCCCGCCTTCCTGCCCTCCCTTTCCTTTTCTTCTATTTCTTTCCGTTTCCTTGTCTTCCCTTATCTTCCTTTCTTGTTTACTTCTTTTCTCTTCTCTTCCTTTCCTTTCCTTTTATTTACCTTTCCTTTCCTTCTTTTCTCTTCCCTTTTCTTCTCCTTTCCTTTGCTTCCCTTCCCTTTTACTTTATTTTCCTTCCCTTATCTTGCCTTTTCCTCTCCTTTCCTTCCCTTCTTTTCTCTTCTCTTGCCTTTCCCTTTCCTTGCCTCCTCTTCTCATCTCTTCCCTTTTAATTTCCTTTCCTTCCCTTCCCTTTCCTCTCACCTTTTCTTCTCCTTTCTTTCCCTTCCCTTTCTCTTTTCACCTTTTCTTCTCCCTTTCCCTTTCCCATTCCCTGTCCTTTCCCTTTCTGCTTTCACCCCGACCTTTCCCTTTCTCCTGCCTCGATTCCCTAAGTCTTAAATTATTCAATACGTCTTGGCGGCCACATCTTAGAATCTCATCGAAAATACTTTTAACCCAAGGCTCTCTAAACTTCCTTCGGGATATTTTTTCCTCCTTTTTTATCAGTGGCCCTCTAAACTTCTTTTTTTCTCTTCTCCTTTTTTTGGTTTTCTTCAGGTTATTCTTATATTTATTTATCTATTTATTTATCATCCGTTGGGTCATTTAACTTTCTCTTTTAAACCCGCTGATTCTCCATTTTCTTTTTCTTTTCATTCTCTATTTATTCATGGCTCTCTCAACTCCTATTTCTTATAGCACGCTGCTCGATAAACTGCCCTATTCCAATTCACACATCATTTTCTTAAGCTTTCGTTTTTTGTTGTTGTTTTTCACTCACACTTCTCAAAACTTTTTTTTTTTTTTTTGGGGGGGGGGGCGCAGCTCTATAAACTTCCATCGGAATTTCTTGTGACCGCAGCCCCTTCTCTTTCTTATTTTCTCTCTCTCTCTCTCTCTCTCTCTCTCTCTCTCTCTCTCTCTCTCTCTCTTCTTCTTCTTCTTCTTCTTCTTCTCCTTGTCCTACTTCTACTTCTCTTTCTCTTTCTCCCTCTCCTTCTTTTCCTTCCCCCTCTCCTATCCACAGCTCTTTAAACTATTTTCTCTTTCTCTCACGCCCTTAAACTATGTTGGGATTTTATTTGGCCAAATTCCCCAAAGAGAATTAACATATTCTTCTCGAAACAGAACACGTTGTCTGGTCGCCATGCTTACTAATTGCAATTCCTCTGGAAATTATATCTAGTTGATCATTAAAAGTTTCATTTCCAATTGATTAATATTATCGTCTCTCGAATTAGGAATATATTGGTTCCACAGCTTTTTTTTCAATTTCCCCATACTGATTTTGAAGAGAGCCCTTTATAATATTACAAATTTAAAAATTCTAACCTTCCTAATGTTACAAGTCACACTTTCGAGTTTTATAATCACATTTTCTATTTCTATAAAATCTTATAATCACACCTTCTATATATTACACTTTCTATTTCTATAAAATCTTATAATCACACCTTCTATATATTACACTTTCTATTTCTATAAAATCTTATAATCACACCTTCTATATATTACACTTTCTATTTCTATAAGTCAAAACTCTTACCCAAACCTCACTCTAATCCTCTCATCAAGTA